GGGGGGGGGGGGGGGGGGGGGGGGGGGGGGGGGGGGGGGGGGGGGGGGGGGGGGGGGGGGGGGGGGGGGGGGGGGGGGGGGGGGGGGGGGGATGCTAATTGTCCTGGACATGGCCGTAGGTTGTTGTCGTAGAGGGCCCTTGCGCAAGTGAGGACCAAGTAGATAGTGGTAATCGTCGCACCAGACGGGCGCACCCCGACAGATCGGTGGTTCATGGCAGTGCACAGAGAGCATATCCTACGGTAGGGTCGGTTAAGCACCCTGAAAGGGTTGGGCTCGCTGTGCGAGGAGACGGGTTACGATTATGCTTGTTTGTGATTCGCGTAACACGTCCACGATGCTCGACTCGTGGCGGGAACGGCCCGCGCGTGTGGGGCGAACAAAAGGTTTTCTATTGCAAATCTCCGGACGTAAAGCCTTGCGGAAGTAGCGGGAAAAGAGGTCGTGGTGCGCACGCACGAGAAACACGTGGTGGGGGAGGGGACGCGACGGATTGTGTCGTTTTTCGTGTGACTCGGGCCTCGATGGCCGCTTGCAGGGGTGGGCGTGACTCTCCACGGCAGCGGCCGGTGTCGTCGATCCCAGTCTCGAAAAAAATATGAGATTGCGGGATCGCGGTGCAGCTGGCTTTGGAAGCGTTGCAGTTCACTGCGCGGCTCGTACGTGAACAGCGAAGGGGTGGCGCGGCGCGGCGTGGCGTGGCCGCAGAAGAGAAGATGAGGGGGGCACGACGAAGTTTGGGGAAGTACATCAGCCGCGAGTGGGGGGTGGTCGGGGCTAGTTTCTCTGAATTCACGCGGGGAAATGCTGTGAGCTTTCCTGCAGACCGCAGGGCGGAGCTTCAGAGCTTACCCCGCTTGCGTGTTGAAAGGTTGTTTGGGCGGGGATATTGCCTACGCGAGACGTTGCCTTCTACGCGAGAACGCTCGCCGCCCACGCATCCCGATGTCATTTCAAGAGGAGTACTACCGAGAGAAAAGTGCAAAGAGAAATGGTCGACATTTGTTTCTTGTCGGTTGTTGCTCTCTCTTGTTGTCTGTTTTGTCATTGTGTGGTTTTTTCCTCGTAGGGCTCTCGGCCATCTCTGTATTGCCAAGCGGACCGCGTTTGGTCTCTGTTTACCTAGGGTTTCGGTTACGTTTCCTGCGATTGGTTTGATCTTTTGGGTGCAATTCATGATTGATAGATGATGATGATGATATGGAAGGAGAGCGAAAGGCCGCCGCGGCTCGGGACCGAAACGCGGCGGGCGGCCAGCGGTGGCGTCTCCCAACAGGCCGTGTGGACGCGCGTGTGAGATTGCACCTCGCATTCACGTGTGACCCGGCGACGTCAGTCCAACAAGCGCGCGTCTTGGGGCTGCACCCCTTCCGGCTCTCTGGGCAGACTGGGGTAGTAGTTGGCGTGGCAGGTTGTGTTGAGACCGGAACTCTCTTGGAGCGTGAGTTTTCGTGTTTGGCGGAAAGGAGCGAGCGAAGAGGGTGGAGGGGAGTTGGGCGTTCTTTCTGCTGTTCATTCTGCGTGTGCTGCGTGTGTGTCATGTGTTTTGTTCGGTCTCACCACCCCTCCTTCGATGCGTTCCGAAGCACGGCGCCGCAACTGAGAAGAGTTTGGAAATGAAGAGGGGCGAGAAAGAAATTTGAAAGATGGCTTTGAATAAATGAAAGTTTTTTTTTTCATTGTTCTAGTTGCGTATATTTTTTTTGCCACGTGGTGATAGGTCGGCCTGGGGTGTTTCTTGCTGTGCCATCTCGTAGGGACGACGTGTCGCGACTGGGGGGGGTGGGGGTCTCCGGTCAAACGCAGAGGAGTTGTTTCTGAGAGGCAGCGTGACTGGCGAGTTGTTCTTTCTTTTCTTGAGTGAAATATCCTGCTGCAGGGTGCCGACGATGTTGAGTCATGTTTATTGGGTCTCGGTCGGCCGTCGTCCTTTTTTTTCTGTCCTGTTGTCTAATTTTAGCTGCCTTGTTAAGGGGTATGATGGCTTGAGTATTGGTTGGTGAGCGTGTAGGGTGTTTATCTGTGTGTGGGTTTACCAAAGCTTCTTTTTCCATTTGTTAGCGGGATGGTTTTCGGGAACGCAGGGGGGCAGCGGGAGGCAAGGCGTGGATCAGTAGATCATAGTGCGGAGTTGGGGGGGCGTGGGTATTACTCTTCGTGTACGGGGCATTCCCGGCTCACTGCTGTGAAGCATGTCCTAACCGCAGCGGAAACAAGCAGGGCGGTAGTGGTGTAAGGCTAAGCAGCAGCAGCAGTGTTGTCGTCGATAATTCGTGGTGTGTGGAAAATATTACCTCGATACATCAAGTGCTACTTGTATATTTCATATGAACAATCGTTGCGTTTGGGATGGGAAAGAGAAGGGTTGATTTCGGGTTCTATGGTTGTCCCCTCCGCTGAACGGGGTTTCTGTGTTCCATTTTCACCCACCGCGGAAGGGGGGGGAGGGGGGGGGGCGGACGTAAAAAGGCCAGTATTGTTGCGCGATGTCCGAGGTGAGTCGAATAACGGTGCGTCGTTTCGAAGCGTCAGGTATTTTTGGCCTACAAGGGCGAGAAAAGGCGCAGCGTCCACGCAGCGTCCACGCGGATGCCGTGCAGCGGCGAAGTTACTCGGTCGGTGGACGCGAGGGTAGGCGTTGTAGGAATTTCTACAGAGTGGTGCACAACTGTATACCATAGAGCCCAAGGCATTGTATTTGAGTGCAGCGAGTTCCCGGTTACCGTATATGACACAAGATAACACACCCCCTGGGCCGATTTTTAAAGCTTCATTACTCCACGACGAAGAGAATTCATGAAACAAAATGATACATTTTCGAAAAGCTTTCGACTTGACAAGTTCAACGCCGCCGTTTTCGGCGTTGTGACTATTCCTACAGTTGAGAAATCGAGCTTCGAAAAATCGGTCAAGGGGGTGTGTTATCTTGTGTCATATACGGTAGTGACCATTATCAGTAGTAGTTTACAATGCCGGAGGGGCCTGAAGATGGTGTTGAAATATGGTGTCGTTCACTTCTGGCAGTTAACGAGAGAGAGCGAGGGTGTTTTTTTTGTTTTTTTGGTGGGTATGTGGTATGCTGCATACGCTCGTACGCGTTATGCGTTACCACCTGGCAGTCCAAGAGCTGAGGCTCGAAACCGTCGAAGCATACTTCTGTGGTGCCCGATTAAGACCCCCCCCCCCCCCCCCCCCCCCCCCCCCCCCCCCCCCCCCCCCCCCCCCCCCCCCCCCCCCCCCCCCCCCCCCCCCCCCCCCCCCCCCCCCCCCCC